CCGTGTCCTTCAGTCAGTCAGGTCGACGCTCCGTGTCCTTCAGTCAGGTCAACTCTCCGTGTCCTTCTGTCAGTCAGGTCGATGCTCCATGTCCTTCTGTCAGTCAGGTCGATGCTCCGTGTCCTTCATAACATGACATATTTTGTGGAACTGGTGTGCCAAAAGCAGGCATAAATCTGGGCTATCACAGCATCTCCCCTGATCTGTTCAGTGTTTCCATCAGTTTTCAGTATTTATGTATTTGACTTGTTTCACGTTTTGTTCTGTTTCTTTATTTTTCTCTTCTCCTGTTTGTACTTTCATCCTCCTCACATCCAGTTTGCAAGACATGGTGACAAAGTATCAGAAAAGAAAGAACAAAACGTGAGAGACATCATCTGTTGTTGTTTGTAACCTCACTGGAAATGATGCAGCAGTTTTTATTTTATTTAAACACAAACGCAGAGGAATGGTTTTATCTCTTCACTGTTTTGGCTTGAAACAATGATTTGTTAAAGCAACTCATCTGCTGCTTCGGCTCTCTAACAGAAACGGCAGAGTGATGATGTAATGCATCATGAACAGTGTTGAAGGTTCCCTGTAACTCACCTTCCTCCTCTCTTTTACTGCATGTCTTCTTCACACACTGAGCTGCATGAACCTCACATCTAATAAAACTCTGCGAGTTTGAGACCACTCGAATGTTTCCCAGAAATCTGCTGCTGTTTCACAAACACTATTCTTTTTGGTTGTTTTTTAGACTTCATGATTTAATTTAATTAATTAGGGGAAGTACGTCTTTAAATAGCCTGGTTGGGATGGGATCTAGCAGACATGTGAATCAGAATGAGCTTTATTATCATCATACCGAAATACAGTGAGATTATGTTCGTGCAGTCGTCTGAAAGATGGGCGGAGTGCACGTTGCTGCTGCTAAAAAGCGCAGCCCCTTATTCTTTATCAGAATATTTTTAGATAAAAAAGGGTAAGAACCATAAGGATAGATAGTGGTATTACAAAAAAGATCTCTTCACATCTTGTCCTATCAGGACACGATTTGAGACATCAAAAAACTCTACCAGCAGCACATTTAAAAACATGATTACATATTCATCTGACGCCAAGACGTTGAGACTTGTCCATGCACTTTCAGATAGGCCACAGTTCTGTTGTTGTTCAGCCGGCAGCTCTGATAAGCCTGCACAGAAGTTCTCAGAGGGAGCGGTGGTTGCGATAGACTGAGCTTTTGTCCCTAGTTACCCGTGTCCCAAGAGAAATTTGATAATTGGTTTGTATCCAAGGCCAAATGGGGAATCAGATTCAGATAAGCCACAATTGTTGATTTTCTTGTGGATGATTTGGATGAAGCTATTATTTTTGACAATTCAGAGAGCAGAACAGGACAAAGACAGCCCAAACATAAATCAGGTTCTAGTGACATTTTTAAAGTTGTCTCATCAGGTGCAGAACCAGAGGTGATAGTAGGAAGGATGGTTCAAATTTTCTCTCTAATTGAAAGGCATGAATTTTATTTGTATGTATGTCATGTGTGTCATCATCATCATCACTTACAGATGTAGGCTCTACAGAGGTGAGGACTGTATTAGTCCAGCTACTGTACTAAATAAATCTAGGCTTGTTCTTCATCTCCTCTATTAAAGATGAATAATATACAATTCTAGATAATAGGCCTCCATGTTCAACTGCCCCCCTCTTACAATGCTGTTATTGCCAGCATCACTCAGCCCTCTGTGAATAGCAAGCAAAGATCAGGGCACTAACGATCAATCGTTAGGTTGATGGTCCTCCGTTATCATGTGAACAGCTAGTTCTGGATGTCACCAGCAGACCGGTTGAGCCACTATGAGAAGGTGCTAAGTTTGATGCAGCTCCTCAGACTGAAGAAGTCTTTTGGATAAAAGATGAAATGTCCCAAAAAGAAGAATCTGTCCCGAGGACCTGACTCAACTTTTTTAGATTCATCACTTGTAGTTCTATTGGTTCAAGATATATTTATTAATTTCAGTAGTTTAGTGGCAAAGTTCTAAACATATATCTGACCTCATCTGTTCGTGCTCAGAATATAAGATGTAGGTCAGTCATGGCAACCAGAACACCTAATTTTAGCTTGATAACTGTGAAACTGACTGTTTACAGCCTTTTTAGTTGACTAAGATTGTTCCGCTGTGGCAGCCATCTTGAGCTGGGTTGATATCAAACATTAACACTTTGTAGACATACTGTACATCCAATGATACATTTCTGACAGTTTCATTGAAATCTGTTGAGTGATTAATTATTTTAGATAGTCAACATTATGAGTGGGACTGAAGGTGTCAGTAGCTGACTGGGGTCACCTCAGATCAGTAGGAGGCCCTACGTTCAGGTTTGACATGGACTGGTGTTCGTACTGCTAAAGGTCTCTTGATGCAAGTGGCTTAGACACCTCTGACGCTGGACTGAGTGCAGTTTTTAATGTGCATTGAGGGAGTTCAGACTTGTAGCAATCAAACTGCACCCACGTTGCATTGGGTGCGTTGGGAAAGAATCCTACGTGGTTTGATGGAAGCCAACTAGATGTGTTTGGGATTCTTCAATACATTCCAGCTCTTCTCCAAAAGGCTTTGTGGGTTGGGAGTTCCAGGCTTATATGTCTATGTTGTGATTGTTATAACAACCAAAGAATGTTACTTTTTCTGTAAATGTCATGCCACATGTTTTACTGAGTGCAAAGAAAGTTGAGCTCCATACCAACGTCAGTCTTGCCGTATCGCTCTGAATGCGAGGCGTTGTTTTTCCCAAAACCTTTAGAGAGATTTTATGTGTGCCGTAGTACCGCAGGGACTTAACTAGGTCACAGTTTGATGTAGGTTGTTGTGTCGGTAAGACCCAAAGGCAC